TCTTCCGAAAAGAGGATTATTGCTCTTGCCTGCATTACTTTTTCCATCTAATGCTCTTGCTGTCCCAGTTCATGTGCCCTCCTGAGGATCAGCTGCTGTACTGGGAAAGGTATGACAGGGCAGGAGATGGGAGAAGAGTGAGGCATAATGGTAAGTGTACCCAAAGGCAACCAAACTCCACTTTTGCACACCCTGGCTAGGTCTGTATATGCACGGAACTCGTGCACACAGGCATTGTGGGGACAAGATGGGCCTCAGCAAAGCCATCAGCACTGGGCATGAAGCAGGCAGGCACGGGATGAGGCTGTGCAGATGCAAAGCCAGAGTACTGACCTTCACTTGAATTCCCAGAGGCGAACTCCTGAGGAATGCGAGGTCTTCCTAATAAACCTTTGGGTGAGGAGCAGGAATAGGAGCGCGACCGAATACCAGACATCATGCATTCCTACAAAAAATTGCAGCAAAATAAAACCTGTGTCATTTTGCAATGCATCAGCAACAGAAACAAAATACATCAGTGACAGAATTTCTGATAGACAGACAGATGACAACAGACACATATGTTTTCTTGGCTCTGTTAAAGCTTGAAGCTCAAGAGAGGTTCTCCTTCCCTCTACTCTGCCCTGGTGAGACTGGATCTGGAATATTGTGTCCATTTCTGGGCCCCTCAGTTCAAGAAGGACAGGGAATTGCTTGAAAGAGTCCAGCACAGAGCCACAAAGAAGATTGAGGGAGTGGAGCATCTCCTTTATGAGGAGTGGCTGAGGGAGCTGGGTCTCTTTAGGTTGGAGAAGAAGAGACTGAGGGGTGACCTCATTAATGTTTACAAATTTGTAAAGGACAAGTGTCAGGAGGAAGGAGCCAGGCTCTTCTCTGTGATAGCCAATGACAGGACAAGGGGAAATGGGAGCAAGCTGGAGCATAGGAGGTTCAATCTGAACATGAGGAAAAACATTTTCACTGTGAAGGTGACAGAGCACTGGAACAAGCTGCCCAGAGAGGTTGTGGAGTCTCCTTCTCTGGAGACATTCAAAACCCACCTGGATGTGTTCCTGTGTGACCTAGTCTAGGTGACCCTGCTCTAGCAGGGCTTTGGACTAAATGATCTTTTGATGTCGCTTCCAACTCCTAATATTCTGTGATTCTGTGAAGTTGAAGTACAACTTTTGACATCATTTAAATTCTTAGGAAAGCTGTCATATATCCATAATTATACATTTTTGTATATCACAGGAAATAATCTGTGGGTACAAGTTGGACTAAAAGAAAGCTTACATTCTTAGCCAGTTTTGTGGCAAGCACCATTCAGTGTTGTTGACCATTATATGCAATGACCACATTATCTTCATTTACCAAGGGAGCCATTAATCTTAAACTTTAATATCTTAAGAACATTTCATGTAGACTAATGCCCTGCCTTTGTAATTATTGATGTCAGAGTTTCCAAAGAAAGGAGTTAGCCTCTTTCTTTTTTCCCTCGGTATTTTTTTTATTGTGCTTGGAAATACTTTCTGATCCCCAAATATGTCAATGATAAGGCTTGAAAGGACCCCCTCTACTTTTTGAGACATCATTTACATTTCAAGAAAGGCTACTCCTAAACTGCTTACCTTACTGTTTTTAAAAGTAGCCCTAACAGAATTCAGTGTTTGTGCTCAACTCTTTTTCTCCCCTCATGTAAGCATTTGCCAAAGGTCTGATACAGCTGTACAGTGGCAAGAACTTTGTCTAATATAGAATCTCTACGAATGAAAAACAGGTTGATGTACAATATCTAAAGATCCCAGAAACAGCATCATGGTCTAAGGAAATGAATGTAGCCAGGATACCTTAGAAAGGAGGAGGAGGAGAGGAGGAGAGGAGAGATCTCAGATCTCTCACTCAGGAGGAGAGATCTGCACTGGTCAGTGTAACAAACCCAACTGACCTTCTCTGAATCTAGCAATTGCTTTAAAACAGACAGCAGGCTACTTTTATACTTTACAAAGCTGTTACCCTTTCACATAAGTACACTCGGTTAAACATTTACTCATTAAACACATTTTGGTTAGCAAATGCTGATTCACTGAACCTGAGATATTTCCTTTTAAACGCTTCTGATAAACAATGTTTTTTACAAAGCTTAAGCAAATTTCTGATGGACCCTTCCTAGGGCTGCTGCCGAGCTCAGCTACAATCGGGGAGCTCCGGCTCCACAACCCCATGTGTGCTGCTCTCCGGAGAGACTATCACCTACCACTGCCAACTGGGAACTCCTTTTTCCCCTTGAGATTCAAATGTTTCTCACATGTTTTCAGTTATTTGCTTAAAAGGAAAAAAATTATAACCAAAACAGTATCAAATACCTTGGGCTGCAGACTGGTAGAGAAGTCTAATTCACCTCTGTTACAAGCCATGGCCTCTGAAGAGCTGAGGGGAACATCGGATCTGTCCGAAACATCTCCACTTCCGCTGTCTACTTCAAGGTCATCAAGACTTGAACTGAAGCAGATAAAGTCTTTAATTCCCATGAAATCTAGTAACAATCCATCTCAACCGCTCTGCAAAGACACTGCTGTATACTCTGATCAATGATAATCCAAACCACCATGGTTTTGTCAAGTAAGTCACACTCTGAGTCCTGTATCAGGTTTGCAGTCACTCGGTGAAGATACTCTTGTCTTCTGTACAGGATTCATCTGTTCTAACCTTGTGGATCTGCAGTACGGACACTTGCATCATCCTACAATCATGCAGACTCCCACAACAGTCAACCACATCTGGAGGATGACTTTCAGACCCATCAGCATCTGTTAAAATGAGGTGGTTTGTTCCACACGTGTATCTGCCTCTCTATATAGATAACAAGAACAACTGAGACAACTAGCTCAGATTTCAGTATTCAGATATGTAGGTATATATGGATATTTTGTGAGAGTGTGCATTTAAAAGATATGGTGTAGCTATTCATACACATCTCCTTTCTACATCTGTTAACTGACAGAGGATGGAGGAGAAAACTAACATAGAGATGAAGGAGGGTCTGTTTATGAGACTAATTTCAAAACATACACATTTAAATATTTATAGGACTATAAACAGATAGAAAAATCTCCAGCTAAATCAATGCTTCAGACTCTTAAAGAATATTTGATTGGCAGGGGTTCCTGAGCAGGAAAGTACAATAAGGTTTCTTAGGAGTATCAGGATTTCCCAGGATGGGTCTTGTAAGCTGCAATAGCAAGTTCATGATCTTTTCATCAGAGTGACTCGAAGGAATGGTTGACTGATTGCAGTAACATTCCAGCCTTACAACAGAAAACTCTGAATTATGCATGGTATTTCTAAATAGCCAGAGCTCCTACCAGGAATAACAGCACAATTCCTTCATGCACCACTACAATTCACTTTGTTGAAGAGCAAATCTACTGATACTGTCCAAAACTACTTCTTTATTACACTTTGAAGACGATCTTTCATAATGTTTCCTAGTAATAGCCCATGTAACATCTCAGAAATAAGTTATTTAACGGCACTAACAGTTACTGTCACATTTTAAAACTGGAAAAGCAATACGTGTCTATGTCAATAGACAAGTATGTGTGTCTTACTTAGGGTAACTTACTCTGGGAATTTTTCTGACATAAAAACTTTGTTTAAACATCTGCTAAGTAACTTGCCAAATCATCTCAGATCCTTCAAGAAAGATGCTGCTGGAATTACATACTGATAGTTTTATTTTCTGTGTAGTATTTGGACCACTTACAGTTGACATATTAAGTTAAATCCCCTCTCTGAAAATTCATATAATCTTAAAGCTGATATATAGATACCTGATACTTTAGGTACTTTAAAAGGTGGGAATATCTAAAAATGTTTAGCAGAAAAATGTTTATGATAGAGGCAGAAGAAGATTTTTTCTAGTAATCTACATGACATCCCTGTAGCTAGCAAAAATAAAACATTTGGGAAAGAATAACTCTGACGTTTGTTGTCTTATCTTTGAATAGAGATTCAAAGATCCCTCCTAGTGGGAATTTATAGTTGCATAAGAAACTCAAAATTAAGGTAGAAAAATGCTACTGCCCACTTAAATCAATAACAGACAGAGGCTACTGCTTCCTTACTTTTTGCATAGATCTCATGCCCTACCTCCAACTAGTGCAAACATTCTTGCAAGGTAGAAGACAGATTCAAATTTCATCCTGTACAAGAAGGTGCTGATTTCATGCCTCTTTTATCCAGAGAAGCAATAATGTCTTTTTATCATGGAAATTTACTAATTGTTAAAAACAAAAATTATAGTCTCATCTTCAAACCACACTCTGCATTCCTGAAGCCAACCAGATCCCAGCATAACCTAAAGCCATCTGGAGGTGGGTCCTCAGACAACCGGCTCTGCTGGCAGCAGATTTTGTGTACCAGTAGAAGAGCAGAAAACAGTCTAAGGCTAAAAGAAACACAAGCTGCACTCTGCACTGTGTCTTTTGAGGTTAAAAAAAAATATATATATGCAATATGTTGCTCCTTCCAGAGGCCAGTGCAAAGAATGAAAAGATTCTGAGACGGTTGAAGAAATTTTGGACTGTTTTCTTAATGGAAAATATAACTGAGGAATAAGGTGAAACTGTGGCTACTGACAAAAATGCCACAATGGAAACCCTTACAGTGAACAGCTGATTCATTTATTTTAAGAAAATGCATACAAGAAAAAAAGCTATACAAGTATGAATTTGTATTAAAAAATAATTTACTTTAAAGGACACCTTTTATTTATTAAAAATGTCTTATGATTTATGAAAACAGACTATTAAGACAACTTAAATACTAGCGATTGAAAACAGTGATTTTACCTTCGTAATAATATTTATTACTCCGGATTCTACTTCATCTTTTGAAAGAAAAGGTTATCATAAATAATCTTTATTCTAGCCATACCATCAAGTCAATTCCATACCTTCTTTTTTTCATGTCAGCATAAAGTTGGCCCCGATCCTTAATAAATCCATGAGTCTTGAAAGAAAGATATGAATCTGCTCCATACAGATCAGAAGGTGAAACAATATGTTTTAAACCTGCATTTTCGCCTGCATTTTTCACTGGCTTTTGATTTCCTTCATTTGGAAAAGGTACATATTGGTCATTTTCCTCAAGGGAAGGAGATGAAGAGCTCTTAGCCATCAGGATTGAGTTGGTGGGATTCACACATTTTTCACTGCTGTTGCCATCTCCATGAATGTAGTTAGTCTTTAAATCTCCCACCTGCAGAGAAAAAGGGAATACTGGTAAGAGTAACAAGATGTATTGTCAAGGAACACGGATCAGATTAGTTTTCCATTTTATTTATGGTTACATGTCTTGCCCTTTTTTTTGCCCCTATTACTTTTTACAGCACATGAATTCAAGGCAAGTTATATGGCTAAGAGATTCTACACCTTGCGTTACTTTTTTCCGTAAGCAGAGTAGTAATTAATTTGTATTTCCAAGTCTAATGATTTTTTTCACTCATATCTATACCTTTTGTTAAATGTATCAATTCATATTTTTATAGCTTTTATTGAAAAAATACTCCTGAGTCAAGCAAAAAATATGCATCATACATGAGTGTAGAAGACATGTGGAGTAGAATAAACCTTGTGCAATTCAATTTGGGAAAAAACAGCCTACACATCATGCACTTTCAATTTTCCAGCACCAATTTCCTAAGCTTTGAGATAAATATAAATATAAATA